CAAGCTGATGCAAATTATTCTAATCTTTGCAATGCATTTGACCTCTTTCCCCAAAACCCACTCTTCAAAAGTTTCGTGCTCTTAGACATCTGGTCGTTATGTAAATTGATTTCACAGTTACCTAACCAAAAGATACTCCTATGTTCATGCTACTGGAACTATTTCATAATATCTGGTGCTCCTCAAGGAGCACCAGAAGGCTAAGCATTTGGGCTAATGGTTGTTTATTCACCTCATACTATAGTTGACTGAAAACTGACATTTATTCCACTGATAATTCTAATATATCTAGGCCACATTACCCCAGTGCAGGGGCCCCTCTACTGGACCATATAGACTTCAAAGCCTACTGATGGATCTCAGGGGACTAACACTTCACGCTTTGTTAATGTTTAATATTCACGATGTAATCACAGGTCCAAGAGTAAAAAAAAAGTAAAAAGTAAAGCTATCCCTGTAACAGGCAGTGAAAGCCCATAGGGTTGTGAGACGTTGAGGGTCCCACACTATCTAGACAATCGGCTCAAAGATGGCTCAAAGGTGGTTAGCCTTACACGGTTTACTCCCCATGAAAATTATTTAATTAATTCCTGGTATTCATTTCTGTTAGAAGCTGAGTCGACCCCAGGGCCGTATTGCGGCCGGAAGGATTAGGTCAATTGAAAAAAAATCCAGTGACCTCATCGGGACTTGAACCTGCGACCTTCTGGCTTGTAGAATAGTGCCTCAACCAACTATGCTACTGTGTGCCCCCTAGGTCCATGGGTGCCAGTAGTATTTTTCTGGGGGAATGAATTTTAAAAAAAGAATCATTTTTGGTATTATTTGGTAATTATCTAATCCTTCCAGCCACACTATGGCCCTGGGATCAACTCAGCCTCTAAGAGAAATGAGTACCAGGAATTTTCCTGGGGGGTAAAGGGCAGCCAACGCATAAGGCTGACAATCTTACTGCCATCTGTGAGCCAACTGTCTAGAAAATGTGGGAGCTTCAACGTCTCACAACCCTCTGGGCCTCCATGGTCTGTTATAGGGATAGCTTTACCTTTACCTATGTCAATATCCATCCCCCTCCTCACCTCTCCTGTTTGACCAGCATGCAATTTGCATTAGAGTGAATGCAATTGAAACTGGTGTAAGTTAGCATTTTTTAAATTTGAATATAACAAGGAGTACCTGCAGTATCCAAGTGACTATCTGGAAATACAAAGAAAATCTACAACAGTATACACAATTGATCTGAACTGAAATCAAGGTTCTCAAATGTAAGGCAGATAGACATGCCAGGCATCCTGTTATGGGCACTGTAGACTGAGAAGCAAAATCATGCACAATTTAAATATTTCAAACTTAAGATCTATTCTATGACTTATGTAACATAATCAAAACTCCTTGTATTTCTGTAATTCCTGTTAAAATCATCTGGTTAAGACTTACTAAAGAAGAAAAACGTTATCTTAAATAACATTCATTTCATCACCTTGGGATGGTTCCACTCTATGAAGTGGAGGCAGAATGTCACATTGCAAAATGTTTTTATCTTGTTTTAACAAAACGTTATGCAACTATAAGAATATTTAGCTTCAAATGGCAGCGTGACTGCAAATGGCAAAGTGCGGTCAAATATGCAAGTAGTCATCGTGTGATATCAGACACAGACGAGACTTATGAAAACCAGAAGAAACCTGTCAGATTAGATGGCTTCAGGATGAATAATTTTCCACCTTGTCCTTTTTCTTGATATCAACAAGCAAATGAAATGTTTAATCCTACATGATATATAAATGCTGTACATTACACCACGGAAAACAAGGTGTTTTAATTATCAAATATGGAATTGTTACAGGATAATCCTTTCCAAAATCAACATGGAGAATTTCATTTTAAGCGATGCTTTGTTTATTTACCAGTTTTGGAAATAATTATCCAAACTACACAATTTCAGAGTTTTATGAAACATTACCATTATGTACTGCAAATGCAGTCTGTGCAAAACCCTGCAATAAAATAATCTTCTTTTATACAAAGGGAAGGCAATAAAGCCACCATCAAAAAGTGTGCACTAAACACCATACATACAGGCTTTTGGAAGGAAAGAAATGCAACTTTGAAAATTGGTAACAGTATACTCATCCAAACAATAAACAGGAAATTTTACTATTTTATGCTTGTCTTAATCAAGAGATCAGGAACGCCTCTCAAATGTTGTAAAATAAGGTCCTCTACACCAACAGAATTACCTTTCCACGGTGTAGGTACATGATAATATAGTCTGTACAATTTCATTCACAAATTAACAACCTTAAATAAAAACATGTTGTAATTTGTCACACTGACATGCCTTTCATTAGGAACAAAGAACGTAATACATGTCTACAGAACATGTTGATATATTCAACAATACTTTGGGATATGCAAAGCCACGGTTTACAATACAGACACAAAGTTTGTCAAGAGAATGCTCAAGTGCCAAAGGAAGCCATTTCACTTAAAAAAAATTGTGGCACATTGTGAATTATTATGCTTCTTCTAAAAGTACATTAAAGCAGGAATAGTTCCTATTTTTTTAACACAATAAAAGGTAAAAATAAATGGATCAGAAATATGCCAAGACACTGAAGCATTTCATAATGCCAATTCTTGTAGTTCTGTTTTGAAAATATTTTACAACTAAGTGCACTATGAATTTCTGCTAAAACATCGCAATGTATTTATTGTACAAATATATGTGATTGTGATGGTGGTAAAGCTCAGAATTTCCATACATTGCAACAAGTAGTACTGTATTTTACATCTACATTTATTGTTAGCTTTATTTTCAATAATTCTGCTGCAGCCATCTGATATTACGAGTACCAATGAATGATACATTTCATAAGCCCATATCCATATTTCATCAACAGTCATAACAGCAAATAAAACTACATTTCAGATGTTCACAGCAAATAACTGTTACAGAAAATCACTCCCTTTTATTCAGACTACTACCAACAGCTTACTCCTCGTGACATGACATCATCCCAATTTATCCTCCCAAGTCAGCATCATGGAGGGTACATTTAGATTCTTAATAAATTAAAAATATGCTTCTATCACATTTACATAAAATTAGCAACTAAATTATCAATTAAATTGCTGCAACTCATAAAAGAATAATAATAATAATAATAATAATCATATATTATGTAAAGCATGTCATACTGCATTTCACCAGAAGTACCCATACCCTTCACAGTATATAAATTATTTTACAAAGTTTCCAGTTGATGCTTCTGGTTACAGCAAGTAAAGTACAAAAATTTCAATCCATATACACAGTTGCATTAAAATTTATAGCAAAAATAATAGAAATATCAAAATTTGCCATTTTTAATTATTATTACTGATTCTTCTTAAATAACTTAAATAAATTTACAACAAAACACACTGAAAAGTCACCATCATTTTCTTCCTGGTAAGCGTTTACTACAATTCAACAAGTGTCACTGCCCAATGAAGTCATAGCTGCACGCAACAAAATGTATGGCAAATCATACAGCATCATCTAGTAGACATATGGGCAATTTAAACCAGAAATGCACATAGAAACTTGGCAGTAACCAAGCCAGCATTCTGGCTGATCTCAAACCACAGCACTCAAAGCAACAAGACTCTTTAACACCATGCTCTATAGTAACTAATTCTTGCAAGAAGNATAATATGGTGTCTATATGTGTTATTGTAACAATAATTAACTGGAAATTATGATTATTAACCAGAAATTAGTGTAATCTCCAGATGGTGATTTTTTGTAACTGCCAGCTATTATTTATTATAACCAGATTATTCACCAATATCAATACATATACAAAAGAAGACTGACAAAATGAAAAGTAATTACAAACATTCCCATCAGAAAACTGATACTATCACCTGGTAAACATTTTTTTCAATTCAATCAGTGCAAGTGTACTATACAGCATTATGGAAAATACAACAGCATACTGCATACAAAATGAATCAAAGCAACCTTAATAGCAACTGAATATCCCAACTTTTATATGAAATCCGAAATCACTCTTTTTAGGTCTGCAAGTGAAGTCTTTCCTATGTTTGCAACACAAGATTCATCAATTTATTAAGCCAAAAATCAAAACAATGTTATAAACACATTTTCCCCTTAGGTTTCCTTTATGACATCAGTCTCACATAATTAAGAGCAGGGTTTCCTACACATATCATAGTAGCTACTCTGTTCTACAATTAACTCTCCTACGAACATAGCAGACAAGCTACAAATGCACATTCCTTATCACCTTACAGGGCCCTCTGCATAATTTATGGTTTATAAATTATACTCTTTTCCTGGGGAGTAAAGCGCGGCCGGCGCGTAAGGCTGACAACCTTACTGCCATCTTTGAGCTGATTGTCTAGATAATGTAAGACCCTCAACATCTGACAACCCTATGGGCCTTCATGTCCTGTTACAGGAATAGCTTTACTTTTTTACTTTTACTCTGGCATGCCACTGTAAATAAAAAATTATGTTTCCATGACTGCACAACTTGCAATAAATTGCTGTATGTATACATCTATTAGATGTTTTCACCAGCTAATTACTATGGACCTGTGAATCAAACCAAAGTGACATGCCAGCTGTCTTGTACTTGTATTGTATACGGTGTGAAGAAATGGAACATCTAGACCCAAAATCAATTTCAGTGTTAACTACATGAAAAGATGAGAATGGTAACATAATGTGTTGCCATATTGGTTAGTGGCCAAAAGAGAGCTTTGTTTTAGTACCTCTGATGTGGACAACTGTTCACTCAATATTCAAGATAAAGTACACAACTAATGAGATCTAATAACGAATTGGCCCTAAAACTAAGACTAGAACAAAGCTGAACTGTAAAAGAAGACACAACCACACTACATTTTGCAAGGATATAATAACCCTCTGGCTCCAGGACACACAACAAGAAAGAGGTACTCCTGTTGGTGCTATATTATTTGGAGTCTTGCTGCTTTGATAGGATTAATTTACACTGTTCTTGTAACAAGAGCTGCATAAAGTTTCCAATTTTTTATGAAGCATTATTTAACTGTATCTGTGTGAAATCATGTGTTTCACCTACAGCTGTTATATTAATTATACGTGTCTTGCTTTTACATAAAGCCAGGAACAAGATAAGATCATAATTAGGTGAAGAAACTGGTTGAATTTAGACAGTGCTGCAGCACTCATTTTTCCAGTCTTTGGTTGTATACAAACCCACAGAAAGCATTTATTATTAATTATTATTACTGTGTCATTGTTAGCATATTTAAAAAACTTCCAATGTAAATCGCTGCCATTCATAATGAAAGAGCCACAGTATCACGCAATGATTGTGGGAAAAACACCACAAATGGAATCCTTTGCAAATCAGCAGTTTCATCATGATACTGTAATCTACTTGCATCATAAATCAGACAATATGCAAAGTGAATTTAATTCTCATCTTGCCAAATAATTCAATGAGAGGAATTTTTTAAGTGTGTTCAGGCTTTGCACTGCAGAGAGATGTAAGACAAAGTTACAGTGAAATATAATTATATTATAATTGAGTGTTATATTTAATAATACATGATCTTTAGTGTGTTGTGTTGTTTCCTAAAATGGTTAATCCTCCTACACGTAGCACCTAGAGCTCACCTGAGGCCCCTCAGCTCTCGTTCATTTCTGAAAAAGGCCACACATTTCCTCATAAGAAGCCAGCATGCATAGTCACTGCCCATACACGTAACTCAACTAATTCACCCGTGTACACTACTCCTGCAGCATGGTCATAGCTACATACCTTAACATTCTTATAAATAAAGGTTATTTCCTCAACACACTCAGACCCAAGTGGAAATCATTATTAGACTACTTTTGCAGTCTGATCATGTCTGCTGAGATAGCAAATTTTTGCACACATATTAAAATACCAAAATTGTATCAAGATTATTACTTACTTTAAACGTTACCTCAAATATTCACCATCGCTACATGAACATTATGAGACCCAACAACTTTGATTTAAATACAATAAGGAGTGCCTGAACCCTGTACCATGTCAAAGATCTCCATAGGTGAACATCTAATGAAGGGAATTATGCAGAAGTTTCCAGCCATAGGTCTAAATGAGTTATATGCATACAAGCATCAACTACAAAATAAAATGAAAACACAAAAATGACAGAACATATTAACAAGTTTCCCTCTTCATGCAGCATTAGCTAGACAGCTATATCCAAAAAATAAAAGGAAATGTTTGTATAGGCACTCGAATTACACAAATTTTTGTTTAGATTTTGATGAAAAGTCAACTGAGTCAAATGCATGGGTGGCACAAAACCCACATTCACTCATTCATACCTCTATTGCCACCTGCCATGATCTTCTTCTTTCTCAGCTCCTCATCAGATATAAGCCTACTATAAGCCCCAGACACAATGGCATTTCCTCGTATGCTACCCGGAGCTCCCAGATGGATATGGTGTTGTCCTGCACGAATTGGTTTTGCTGTACAACAAGGAACAGTATTTTTAAGTTCTTATATTAGGCAACAAAATCTCTCAGTAAGCAGAGGGAGCGAAGTAACTCAACAAAAATCCTTAACCATGTGAAGCCTGACTTTGCTATCTCCCAGCACATACTTAGCATGGTAACTTAAACAGCCCAACAAGTTTAAAAAAAAAAAAAAGAAGTGTCATACATAAATTTCAACATTACATAGAATATGGAAACAATGGCATAAATTCTCTATAAATGTATTCTATTTTGTTGTATTTCACATTGTTCTGACAGAACAACCTCTGTTCTGTTGGGATTCATAAATAGGCTTAGGTCCATGTGTGCAAATTTTGAAGAAAATTGACCAAAGATTTGTTAAGATTCACTCTGTTAGAGGTTTTGTGTCCATGTCACTAACCTATCTGTGCACTAGGCCCCCTCCTGGCCAAGTTCTTTTGCCGCACAGCCTCCTTAATTCGATCCACCTCATACTGGTAGCGCTTCCTATCCTTCATAGCACCCTCCTTAGCATCCTTCAATGCAGATTCCAATGCCTGTAAAATAATGATATGTGAATCTGATGTGCAGATCTGATCTACAAGCATGGCTGAAAGTACCTTCCCACACCCCACTTCTTGTCCCTCAAAGAGAACAAGGAATTCCAAGCAGAACTCATAAAGCCTACCTTTCTGTTGCATAGATTTTCTAATTAAACAGATCAATTGCTCCATTACCACTGTTACCCTATTTTATACCCATGAAGAGCTTATTACTTAGGTATGGTTTCTTGAATAGGGTAGATCTGCGAGACATAACCTCAAAGTTCTGCATCACCACTGCTATTATTAATCGTTTAGTTACAATGTTTCACGCATAACATGTAGGTATTTATGTGGGTTATGTTTATGACTTATTTCTGAACCAAATTTCCGATTCCAAACACCAGTGGTTTATCAGTTATCGCCATCAAAACAAAGACTACAGTAAATTCTCATATGGCTGCCATGTTACATTATATTTCATGAAAACATTACCTTAACACAAGCTGTATATTCTTCAAAGATGTATTACTGTCCAGTACTTATGGACCCTAAAATACATGGAAGTAGTGTTGCTCCAACCCCACAAGTTTACATGTTCTCTAAGTTGTTATTACTGACAGTACAAAATTAAAAGGACAGCACTGGACTGACCTCCAACAGTACAAGACCAATACCACAATTTGCAAAAATCAGTCAACTGGTTCAAAAGTTGAACTGAGGTGACAAGCAGCATGGTTAGCCTACCTTCTTTCACTGAAGGAAAGGAGACTATATATGATAAGTGATCAAAGAATGGAGACATTCCTACCAGGCAGAATGATCATACAGAATTGCAAAAAGCCATATTTCCCATGTAAAAACACCTAAATGCAATGTGGCCACTGTATTTGGAGACACGTGACATGTTGGCAACACCTCCACAATAATTCAACCCCACTACACAATGAAATCAAATAATCCCCAGCTTTGGAACAGAACACCCTACCTTCACTCTTTCCATTGTGGCACGCAACCTCTTCTCCAGTTTAGGCAGCTCACATCGAAGATCTGCATTGTCTCTAACCAGCTGTTTGTGAACCTTTGTCAGCTGGTCCAAATTGTTCTCCAGGAAACTAATCTTCTGTTTCTGTGCCAATGAGCCTCCATCATCCTCACTATCCTCAGCATTTACAGACTAGAACCACAAACAAAACAGAACTATTCCCTACAGATCATAAGATATCCCAAACAAAATTAGTTCTCTTTTACAACTGATATATTATTTCTAAGTTTTAAATCGCATTAACTTCATATACCAAATATAGTAGACAGGCATTTTTATTATTCTTCTTATATTATAATTATGTGCCAAACAACTGCCTCTATTATCCTTTTTTTTGCATGAAGAGATTAAATTTGTGTCATCTTTGAATCACATCACTGTAATGGTATGATCCTGCACCAGCTGAACCACTTGACAAATGTTTCACATTACAATAAATTAAACAAGACTGTGTGGTAGATGGTACTGTGGCTTTAGGGCCATGGAATATATACTCCATCTTTTCATCACATATACACCCAAAATCGGAAAGTTCCCAGACTTTTGTTGTTGTAACTGCCTCAGTGAAAGGTGATGAGGGGGAGGCCAAGGTCACACTTCCAAAAGCCTGTTGCATCAGTCTGCCATGTGACACTGCGCTGTGAACATGCATTGTTTTTAATTGAGTGTTTTTCAACTTTGTGTTTCATTTTGTCTCTGATGGAAGGCAAAATCAAGCAATGCATCTCCATCAAGTTTGGTGTGAAGCTTGGCAAATCCACTACCGAAACCCTTGAAATGGTGCATGAGACTTTTGGAGAACATTCAAACCAGACAGCAGTCTTGGAATGGCATTCACATTTCAAGGGTGGTCGAGTGTCAGCTGGAGATTATGAATATTCAGGGTGACCAAGCACCAGCGAAACAACAGAAAATGTTGAAAAAATTAGAGAATTCATCCACGAAAACCATCGCCAAACAATCCAGGAGCTTGGAGACACCACTGGGATCAGTTATGAAGTTTACCAAGAGATCTTAACAGAAAATTTTAATATGTGCCGCACTGCCATGAAGTCTGTTCCCAGACTCTTGACAAACGATTAAAAGCAGTGGCACGTAAACATGCGTCTTGAGCTACGAGAGAAGGCTAATGAGGACCCAACTTTTACTCATATCTCTAGGATTATAATGGGTGATCAAATTTGGATTTACAAGTCATGATCCAGAAACAAAGCAACAATCGTCACAGTGGAAAAGCCCATAACCAAGAGTAAAAGAGGTTCAGGAGGTCCGGAGTACAACAAAGAGCATTCTCATTCTTTTTCTTGACGTGAAGGTGATTGTTCACTGTGAATCTGTTCCTCCTAACACTAGGAACAACTCTGACGTTTTGAGACTTTTGACAGAAAATGTGCAATGACGAAGACCAAAACTTTGGTGCAACCACAACTGGACCCTTCATCATGACAACGCACCCATCCAGATTATTCTCCCTAGATAACTATGCTTAATAACACAAAAATCATTCCTGTACACTAATATATTGTGGAATATGTGCTGAAAGTCAAGGCACATTGCTAGACAATGGTGTAATTAATGCATCCTTACAACAGCAATGATGTCATGCAACAACAGAAAAGCTGACAGAAGTGGTGTTTTCTGCTGCGGTCCACTGTGGCAGCTTTCTGAGTCTGCAGTATTGCAGCTGCAAGAAAAGGTGTTTTCTGTTGGGTCCACCCTAAGGTCACAAAGCCCAACAGTAAAAGTGAATCAGTCTTGAGATGGCAGAGTGACACTGAGTAAAGCTGTGAGACAGACACCAGCCTATCAGGACGTGATCACGGGAGAAGGGGAACATCCACTATTGGTAATGTTACCCAGCAGTGCAGTGAAATTGTGACTGGGAGCACTAGTCTGTGTGTGAAAGTGATTTGTAAAGTGTAGTCACGAGAGACAAGAGTCTCGAGATGGTGGTTAGCAAGTGCAGTCAATGAGCCATAAAGACATGGGGAATAACCCTTGTTAGAAGACTGTAACCAGGCAACACCTAGTTTGTTGTGAGATGGGTGCCAGTCAGCAAGGACCAGAGCTGTGGAACATGGAAGCTGAGAAATCTACGATGTTAGGAGCTGCCACCAGGCAATAACTGGTGAAGACACAGCAAACTGAGAAAACTTAGTGTGTGCTGTAGTGCATTGCAGAGTCTGTGAATTAGTGATAGCACTATAATTATTTGTAGTTTTTAAGAATCCATTAAATCCAATTACCAATCAAAACTCTGTTTGTAGTCACTTATCATATGACAACATCACAGACAATATGCAATTTAAAATGACATGTCTTTTCTGACTAACACTATAGCTGGAACACTTTAAGGTCAAGGACTTACAGAATGAAGGATATACACTTTCTTTATAAAACAGACACTTTATTATATTAATTATAAAAGAAAGAAGAAAATGAAGCCACCCCTTATGACTATCACCATATTACGATTCATGTTATATTTTAGCATCCTGTTACACTGATTCATGTCCATGGTTTATGCTAACTGTCTTACAGTGTATACACTTTTTCACCTTATTCTTCACTTCCACACTACATGTTTCAGCACTAATGTGCCATCCTCAGGTGTCTTTATGCACGTTAAACTATTGTACTGCATGCCATGATGTCTTCATTCTAAAATGACTAAAATATCCAGCAGTACAACGCATGTAGTAACAGGAGCAAAACACAACACAGAACACAATTCACAAATGTATGTAGGAAGAATGTTCACATAAAAGAGGATTGGCGTAATTCGCGTGTTTGAGTGCAACATAGGATGAATCCTGAAAAGTTTTATTATTTAGAATTCATCAACATATATGACGAATACAGATTTTAGTCATTTTAGAATGAAGACATCATGGCATTCAGTACAATAGTTTAACGTGCATAAAGACACCTGAGGATGGCATATTAGTGCTGAAACATGTAGTGTGGAAGTGAAGAATAAGGTGAAAAAGTGTATACACTGTAAGACGGTTAGCATAAACCATGGACATACTACGATTCTCTAAGAGAGCAATGTCATTTCTAACTTTTCATTCACAAAATTACTTTCCATCTAGGCAGCAATGTATTAGTCACATTTTTAATTTCAATTAACATAACCAACTTCAGTCCATAACATATAATTCACCATAATAACCCAACCCAGAAGTATGATGGCAGTAACACTCGTACATTTATTTTATGCTCCCACGACCACACCAAATCCTAATTAACATCTCAGTTTCCTTGTATAAAGAATCTGAACAGTACAGTCTCAAGATAGTTCTACTAAATAAACAAAGACACTGGTACATAATGGACATAACAAAACAAAGCAAATGTAAGTGCACCAACTTTCCAGCTGCGTACTGTTCGGGGATTTATCCATTCTGTAGTTAGCTACACTATACTTATATACATGTATCATAGCATCCCAGAATACAAAGAATATAATAGTTTTATTTATACTGACCTTCTTAATCCTAGCTTGGAGGTCCTGGACAAACAGTTTCCTGAGATTGTGGAGTGTCTGAAGTTCCTTAGCAACAGTATCTTCCAACCCCTTAAGGTCCTTACGAGCCTGTTCCCGCCTCTCATTTGTCAGACTGCAGGAATAAGAAAGTCAGTATTACTCATACATTACAAATTTCATGCAAACAAAACTAAAATTAAATTAAGTATGAACTTCTTTAAATCACTTCTTCCAGTTTACATATGCATTTTACAGGGAAAGTTTTAAAGCTATTGACATGTTCACGGCTCCACGCTTCATCGATATTGGGAAATCGCCAGCCGCTAAGCACATGCAAATTTTGTCGATGACTCAGCATACTTGACGGCTGATAATGCTTGGAATGGAGGAAAATAATTAACTTGCAGACCTCTACACAGTATTATGTTACATGGCAGGAAGTGCAGTTCATGCATGGGAGTTTATGATTTCTCAGCAGTAGGCAGTAGTTATCAGTGCCATGAGCCATTTGTTCCCAGTTAACAGTTGGTCAGCAGTTCAGCACAACAATGTTCACAATAATTTAGAGTAATGTGTGCTTCTCAATGACATTTATCTGAAATATGGTTCTGCTGGAAAGTGTCAGTGAAAATATTGACATAAATTTCATGATGAGAGAGTTCCCAGCAGACAAACAATTCATAATTTGGTGAATAAACTTAGAACAACAGGACTCTTAATAGACAAGAAAACAAAACATAATCGTCAAGTGCAACTGAGGAGAAGTGATCATGATTTTTTCTTCCTGGGTTGTGTGAAAGACAAAGTTTCCACCAGTAACCCTCAAACAGGAGGAGGACTGAAAGAACACATTCACAGGGAAATTTCTAATATTCCTACAGATAATCTTCAGAAGGTAAATCAAAACCTCTTCTGCCGGTGCAAGGAATGTTTATGCGTAGAGGGACAGCACTTTTGACACCTCCTGTGAAGAGCCCGCAGTACTCATTCCATAGAAAGCTGGGTGGGCCCCAGAGCTGATCTGAACTACACAGAGAAGAGAAAATTCTTTACCCTACCGGGACTCAAACTCCAACTCCTCGGTTGTCCAGCCTGTATCCAGTTGCTATACTGACTGCACTATCCTGGCACCTTTTAGACAGAGGTACAATTTTTATATCTTTACACTACCAACTGCTTTAGATCAGAGTTGTCAAAAATATGTGAGTATAAAACTCTTCTAGGCTAAAATATATATCTACAGAACTCCAAATTAAAACTACACTACAACTGTGAAAGAATGAGTAACATTTATAACAAGAACTTCATGAAAGTGAGCAAAATAAAAAAAAATAAAAGTTAGTAAGATGTTTGGTAACACTTAGCAGTCAGTCAGAAGGATAAGGCATTTATTTAATTTTGCAATTAGTTGCCAGAAAGGTAGTAAGAATTTAGTCTGAAAGAAGGAAGTCAGAAGTTTGAACTTAAGTGAGGCATTCAGTAAGAAAGCAGTAAAAAATCAGTTATTCAACAGGTGATGTAAGAACTTAGCAGACAGCAGCAGAAAGGATTCAAACAATTAACAGTGAGGCAATTATTCAGTTACATGAGAAAATTAAAACAAAAGGCTTTGTATCTCTATTTCTTGGTGTACTATCAATGGGAACACCTGTGTGAACACTGTACAGAATATGAGGGTTATTCAGAAAGTAACCTCCTTTTATTCTAGGCAACTATGTAGGAGCAGGGGAGATCTCGTGCATGCAAGGTAGTCACATGACTCACTGCCTTGTAAACCAACATATAACTGGTCACCCAGTGTTTGTTCCTGTATCTACAGAGTGAGTTATGATGTTCCCTGCGATTAATAAGCCTGCCAGCTGTGGAATCAAATTGTTACTCGCTTTCTTCACATGAAAAACATGAGTGTTGTGGAAATCCATCATGAATTATGCACAGTGTTTTATGATGAAAATGTATGAGTCAAGAGCTGCAGAATGTCCAAAGATGGGCGAACAAATGTCTACGATGGACAAAGTGGTTGGCCATATGTAGCGAGTGATGATCTTGTTCAAGGTGCTGACCAAAAAACACGGGAAGGATGGCACTTCACAATTTCAGAACTTCAGTGTGAATTTCCACAAATTTCACGCACTGTTCTCTACAAGATTATCACTACCTGGGTTCCAAAATTGATCACAGGTGAGCATAAAATGCAGAGAATAGTTTCATCTTTGATTTTAACTCTTTTTTTAGAGTGATATCACAAAGATGGCTCTTAATTGCTCAATCACATCATACGAGTAACAGGTGATGAAACCTGGGTTTCATTTGTGAATGCTGAAACCAAAGAGCAGCAAAGCACTGGATGCACACACATTCACCAAATGAACCAACAAAGTTTAAACAAATGCTGCCTGCCTGAAAGCTGATGGCAACTGTTTTCTGGGACAGGAAAGGAGCGCTGATTGTGGAATTCATGCAACAAGGGATCAGAGTAACATCAGAAGTGTACTGTGAAAAACTGCAGAAACTGCAAAGGGCCAGCCATTCAGAACAAAAGGCGTGGAATGTTGACATCTGGTGTAGTGCTCCTCCATGACAATGCCCGTCCACATAGAGCTGCTTGCACTGAAGCACTGCTAGAGCGTTTCAACTGGGAGTTGTTTGACCACCCTCCTTGCAGCCCTCCTCTCATTCCGAACAACTGCCACCTGTTTACCTAGCTGAAGAACTGTTTGGAATCACAGCGCTTCAATAATAATAAGCTGATGAAAGATGCCAAATGTGGATGAGCTAACAGGTGACAGACTTCTTTGACACAGGTATACAAAAACTTAATCCCCAATACAAGTTCCTCAGTTCAGGTGGTGGCTACTCTGAGAAGTAGCTCAAGTATATATGTATTTTTTGTACATAATGTGGCATGTAAACCTGTTGCCAGGCAATGACTGGGAAAAAAACAATTAGACAAAAGCCCATAAACAGCAACAAAATAGCAGTGTTTTCTGTGTGGTCGATGCTGAGATATTATAAGCTGCACAGTCTAGAGAAGTTAAGAGTCTTAAGTCTGCAGTTAGCAGCTGGGAGACAGATTCACTGGAGGCTGCCGTAGATGGTCGTCCCTGACAGACGAGTGGGAAGTCATTGCATAGCAATGCCGAGTTAGTTGTGTGACAGTCACCAGCCAGTAAGAACATGAGCATTGAAGCAGAGGACATTGTTGGATCCAGCCCCAGGCAACCACTGATGAAGACACAGCAGACTGAGAAGACACAGTATGTGCTGATGTGAAATGTAGTGTGCGTGAATTAGCAACAGCAATATAGTTACTTGTAGTAATAATCTGTAAGTGTTCAGTAAATCTAATTACCAATGCAAACCCAATCTATAGTCACTCACACACGTGACAATTTTTTCCATTGTTTGTTTTTAACAGCACACCAGAGTTACTTTCCAAATAGCCCCTGTATAATGAAGTGACTAATCCAATGACACTTACGACTTTGTCTTTGAATGAAAGGCAGAATTAAGTCATCACCTGAAACCTCTACTTATATCTATCCTTCTCAGCACTTCCACCCCATAGATCAAATCTCTGAATGTCACTCAACCTGTGAAGCAATCCAAGGTGTCTTAATGCTCTATCTGAAACAATCTTGTGCCCACGACTTATATCTCAGTTCAACTACAACACTGGCATACCAAAGTCATGTGTACATTCAACTGCAGCAGCATATACCAAATGTCAACTGAACCAACTCACATCAGTTCCTGCAGCTTATTACTCTTGTCATTCTCCTCTTGTTTGAGCCTCTCATAATCCTGCTGCATCTGCTGATGGGCCAACGTGTACTTCTGGTTCAAACTATCAACACAAAAAAGTCACCAAATTACTTGAAAATAATAATTTTACACCTATTATTTCTACATCTTCTTGGCCCAATTCTTATTCGTGGACCCAGCAAAACTTCTCCAAATTATGTTTTTTTTTCTTATTGTTACTGGGAAAGGAAATATTTAAAAGGTGGTTACAACTGGTTGAGAAAACATATCAGGCATAATATGTAAGAAGATACCTTCAGTAAAACTGCCTTACGTAATAAACAGTGCCACTTTTAGGTATAATGAAAGGAAAGGCAAAAAAGAGTTATCTCTGTGCCTAATTAATTAAGCACAATGCCATGAAAATATATGGGGGAGTAGTGGTATAACGCCACCATTCTTAAACTTGGCACTAAATGGAGCTATGTGGTCAGCTTCATGCCCCAGCCACTTTAGTCCTGGGGAAGAAATTCTGGCAGGGGCAAGAAGTTTTCTGTACTCCACTTAAATTTTCTGAATCAAATATAATGAGGTATGCAACAAATTTTATACGATGTCAATGGAAGGTAAACAAAATAAATTACATTATATTTATTTGATAAACTATATATAACCTTAATTCAAATTATATTGTCACCGTTATAACAGGGATTTCAGATTTAGTTTGCAACATGAAACCTTGCATATAAGTGAAATTTATAATCATAAATGAATACATCATTATTTACTATTCTCAGTACCAATAAGAAAACTTAAATCAGATGTTCACTGTAAATTAACAAATATACAGAACTAAAATAATGAGAACACAATCACCATTCCACTTACCACAAGATACCCACTTTACATTTTCGGAACATGATTCTGTAATTAACCTAACAAAGTTTCAGACTAAACAGCAAATATTAATGAAATACCAGAGCTTTTGCACTGTGTCAATATTAAAAATTTTTATACAAAATTAAAATGGCAACTGTAAACATCTATGAATTTCTACTGATGTGAATACATATTAAATAATTTTTATTTTTTGAAAACCTACAAGAAGCAAATAAAACGAGCATACTTAGCAAGCATACGGAAAGTAGAAGGAAAGCAAATACCACACTTACTGTGAAAAAAGCCAGGCCAGGGCACTTAACAAATACACAAGAAAACAGCACTAACAGTCTTTGCACATCCATCTCAAAATCTTTTGATTTTATTGAAAAGTGCTCTAAAATTCCCGAACTTCCAAACTCCTTTAGATATCTAAAGCTTCAAACAAACACCTAAAAGAGGCATGTTGTTGCTTCAACAGTCCTAATGCAGACCAACAATTTCCCGTCTTTCCTGTTTCAAGTGCCACAACTGAACGTCCTGTTAATGTCCTGCAGAGGTGTATCATATACAACAGTCCATGGTGGGATGGGAAGGGCATATAGCATGAATGGGAACGATTAGGAATGCATACAGGGTTTGGTGGGAAAGCCAGAAGAAATATATCATTTGGACAACACAGACATAGGTCAAAGGATAATATTAAGACAGATCTCAGAGAAACAGTATCTGGTGCTTTGGACTGATTCATCTGGCTCAGAAGAGGAACCAGTGGCAGGCACCTGTGTATGTGGTAATGAACCTTCAGGTTCCTTGAAATTCTGGGAAATTCTTGAATAGTTAAGCGACTGGTGGCTTCTCAAGGACTCGGCTACATGAAGTTACTTAGTTGTATCAGTTCATAATGTGCTCTAATAAGATTTCTTTCAGCCTGGTATTGCAACTTAATGTACTCAAAACATTACCTCTTTCTGCACATTTATAACGTACTGCATTTTCCTCTGTGGCCACATGTCAATATATGACTGACATATTTCTCTTCATGTTTCTGCAGTGAAATGTTGATCAGATGTCACAATGATCATTTCAGTACCTTTACCAAGCAACTGCTGCCATATGCTGGTCATTTTTGTTAACTTTTTAAAAATAAGAATTACGAGAATAAGAATTACGTATGTATAAGGGTTAATTCACAGCAAAATGGCTGAAATGCTCAGGGTAGGGAGGAGGTTGTACAACATTATGGCAAAAATGGGCTTAAACATATTTCACTATACTTCCAGTTTCAACTAAGCTCAGACAGAAACACTTTGCTACACTTTACACAGAAGGACATACAAACCTAAATCACTGAGAAAATTTCATACAAGAGCAGAACAGTGTACTCCAGTCTGGAGTGCACGTATTTTAGTCACGAGATTCATCTGCACTGCACAGGGACATACTATCGCTGACAGAGCCAATTAACAGCAACCTTGCTATGCTGCATACAGCATAAAGGATTTTCTTTTGTTTTGTCTAATTAACGGTAAAAACATAAACAAAAAATTTAAATAGAAGTTACTGATCTTAATGAGACCTACATTTTACATTGTATACTTGGCTATATGAGAAGTGTTTGATGTAGTTTAATTAAGGCTTTATTTTATAACAAAATTTGTTCATATTTAATGGAGACCGCCTAATAAATTTTCTTAAAAATATGTGAAATGGTTTTGGTAATATAATATTTCTGTTCAACATCTTCCCTGAATAAAAATAATTCATAAAATGCAGATGACTAGTTTTCATTTCATTAGTCAGAAAGAGAGATTTATTCTTACAAATTGCAAAACTGAGGAAAGGTGATGCACATTCCTTGGTGCCTCTGATTTAACTAAATTCTGGGTAAATAGCTTAGTCAATTACAAAAGGACTGACATATATAAATTTTAGTGACTTACTCTTTCAGCTCACTGATTGATGCTTGCTTCTCCATAATTTCGTCTCTGAGAGCTGCCACTTGTTTCTGGTGGGCATCACGAAGTTGATCCATTTGCACCTCCAGGGCTACCCGCATCTTGTTTGCCTGCTCTTTTTCTTCTGCCTTTTCCTTACTGGATACTGCATGAACTTGCTCTGAACACAAATACCGTTTATGAGTTCCTGACACCAAATATGAACATTATTTTGCATAAAGCAAATTATTTTCAACAGAAAAATTATGCATAATGGGCCTGAGTTATACAGGTTATTGCATGTGCATGTCTCAAATTTTCAAGACAGAATCACAAAAAAAAGTCTTAATATTGATTCAAGCACTGATTTTTCTGTCCCAAACTTCAACAATTTTAAGATCACTGCATTCATTTTGCACTGGAGCATGTGAAATACCAAATCCACCAGAACTGTAATGCCTGGCAGCAACAACATGAATCAACTTGTCAACAGAGTCTACCTCTCTCTTCCTGCCCATACCGCATCCTTATCTACCTCAGTATGCAGTATCAGCATCTGACATCGAAACAGTTTAGTAGTACACTTTGAAGCACTGTGAAAAAGTGGCTGGCATTATAAATTGTGATTACAAAAATTGCTCTAAAATACAGAACTCTTGACCGCATCTCAATTATTGAGAGTTTTCCAAATTTTCATCAGTCTGCTAATAAATTAAAAAAAAAAAAAAACTCTCATATGCCTGGATATATTTGTAATATCTAATATCTTGTAATAAGTGAACTCTTGTTTTTTTTGTATATATTTATGTAATTTCTGACACTACACTAATTATTTTTATTTTGTTAAATAAACAAAGTTTAGTGCCTTATTACTGATCTATGAAGTTACACAGTCATTTTTGGCTTTGTCCCTCTGACAAATGTTACAAATAGGAGTTTCACTGTATTATGAACACAAAAGAGTTCTCAGAATTACTAGGTTTTCACACTTTGTCCATCATCCGGCATTCTAAAACTAGAAACCACAACGTTTCGGAAACTGGATCTGTTTCCAGCCTCAGGCAAGGGTGGAGACACCTACACTGTTGGGTCCTTAGAAAAAGCTGACCTCAATAACTCACCTGAAGATGGAAACAGATAGTTTCCAAAGCGTTGTTTTCTCTAGTTTTCAGGATACTGGACAATGGTCAAAGTCCAAAAACCCAGTAATTCTGAGTGTTATACACCATTATCAGAAATTTTTAGAATCTACAAAACAGTTCTGTGTACACACTAATGTTAATATGTGAACAACTGACTGGAACAATGAATTTCCTTTCAAAAAATAAATGTTAACCAACCAATTCATATTAAACACAGTTCAAGTTATCATCACTAACTTCTTTTTAATTTTATTTCTTGCAAATTTACAATCTGCTCCATAGTAACATTATGAGTAATAAGTAAATGGTTTAATACTTATAACGAAAGAATTGTCACTAGCATACATCATAATGTAACTTACCAGCAGCCTTCAGTTTGGCACACTCCTCCCTGAGTGCATCCACATCTTCTTCCAGTGTACGCTTCTTGTTTTCAGCCTCACGCATAGACTCCTGGAGCGTCTTCATACGGGCCTCGTGCTGTGAGATCAGCAACCGACAGTCGGCCAAATCCTTCTCATATTCAGTGATCTGAACAACATGAAATTTTTCTTACAGCAATGTCTGACAAGAGCTTATGTAATGATACCAGATAGATAAATGAGATGTGTTACAACACATGTTCCAGCTGCTTGGGAAAATAAGGTAGTGTGAAGACAGAATTTGTAAGAATTAAATATGGAGTAGTCATTAAAAACAATCCCCAATAAAGGTCTACACAGAAGCTTCATGCAGAAGAGTTAGTCTTGAATGCAAGCCCTGATATGGGAGGATACTATTAAAATGGATCTCAGCCTCTCAGCACTGCCCACAATGCTCAATATGGCAGGAATGCATGTACTATGGCATTGTCCCACATATTCATCATGTACCTAACAAGTAATCCTTTGCATGGTTAGTTCCTGAACTAGTTCATAAGTGTATGCACTGCACTGTATTCCATTTTCCATAATTACTAATTTTGACATGGGAAGTTAAATATCTCACCAAATTATTTCACCAAGATGAGATTTATCTCCTGGGATATAATTCTGTGTAATCCAGTGAAAGTCAAGCAAGAAACCACTGCGAGGCAAGCAGCAACTGCTGTGCTTATGATATGATCTTCCAAAATGTCTGATGGCTTTTACTGGACTATGCCATGCTATATCCCAGAAGAAACAACTCTTCAGTCACTACTGTGAGAACCTCAAAACCAGAATTTTTAGACAAAGTTTTCTAAACTGTTGCCAAGCCATTTAGTACAACTGTCATTTCTATCACAGAGATAAGATCTGTGAATGAATAAAACCACAGCAATGTATGCCACAACTGTGACTGATGCTTACTACACATGTACATAAATATACAGTTATCCCAGTGGCTAAACAAAGCACTTCACCATGAAGATGTATGTGGGAGTGGAGGTACAGATGAACCATTCTTAATCTCTGTACTAGAGTTGAGTGGTCAGTTTCATGCCTCAACTGGGGAAAAAGTCCTCAGTACCCACTGAATATGAGGTTGGGTGGACCTCAGAGCTGGTGTGGATGTTGTGGAGAAGGGACTATTTCTTACCCCTGCTAGGAATCAAACCTCCTGATTCCTTGGTCATCCAACCTGTAGCCTACTCGTAGTTGCTACATCCTGGTCACTTTATATTTGTATGCACTTAATGTAAAAAAGTGGATTAGGGAGATTTCATAGTACCATAATACATATGCAAGTCAAGTGGGTCTGTTTCATGATGCCGTCACTAATGTATTTATTCTTGCTTTACAACAAATGTCACCCTAGGCCTAGTCTGTTAGTGTTTATTCTTTCCAAGAAAGAACATTTCATTGAGAATGCCTACTTTAATAAACTTGATCAAAAGCTGCCTCAAAACTTAAGAATTATATGGTTAATTCCTGACAGCCACCAGCAAGGGAAAGAAATCAATTGTTCTGTCAGACCAACAAGTGGCAGAACGCTTACATATACAGTGAGATCTCTATTTAAAGTATGTTTCGGAGACTGGCTATTCTTACACCAAACAAAGGTGTTCACTAAACTGAGGTTAAGCAAAATTACATCACTAAACTGTTCATCTTCATATAAGAATTTCTGTATACCATATAATTATAATAAAATAGGCCCTTTATAAATAGTTAAAAAACTTCTCTACACAAATAAACACACAAGCCTGAAACAACAAATGCCATTTGAAACACAACACTCAAGACTGCAATGGTTCCTATACCAATAAATATAATATCAAATTAATACAACTACAAATATAATTACTTAAGGAAAAATATCAAATAAATTTGTAAGACAATTAATGACATGCAGGTGTTGAGGTTCTGACAGTGGTGCTAATGATGAGCTCCATCTGCTGGGATATAACAATGTGTAGTTTGCTGAAAGCTCTGCTGGCTACCTTCTTCACACTAGTTTCTTGCTTGGCTTAGTATTTGACCTTGAAGTGACATGTTCCTCTGACATGTCAGTTGACTTTCAACCGACTGCATGGCATTACATCCAGAAGACAAACTCTAAGTCTAAAACCAATCAGAGTTACTTCATTCATTCATTCATCCATCAGTAATCCGTCAGACGACAGGCCCACAGTCTCTTCCAAAACAGTTCCTGGCACTTAATGCACTTTCTCCTTCAAATGAGAATATCCTCTTCTGTCCCCAAGGTCATCCAGCATCTTCTTACATCTTCTTCGTCTTCTGGTCACTTCTATCCACCTCTCTATCTTTCCTTCAATAACTTCTTTTAGAAGGCAGTTACTGCATAAGATATGGCCAATCCAATTAGCCTTCCATTTTCTTATTTCGTGTAGGATATTCCTCTGCTCACAGACTCTAAATAACACTTCTTCATTTCTCACATAATCAGTCCAACTGATCTTTTCCATCCTTCTCCAACACCACATTTCGAAGCTTTCCAGGTGTTTCTGATCTACTGCCCTGAGCGTCCAAGTTTCAGCCCCATACAGAGCTATGCTCCAAATATAGCATTTCACTAGTTTCTTTCTCAAATTTAAGTCCAATTTGCTGCCAAAAGATTCTTCTTCTTGCTAAATGCAGCTTTTGCCATGGCAATCCTGGATTTAATTTCACAAGTACACCTTCCATCATCTGTTAACGAGCTACCCAAATATTTAAAACATTTCACATTCTGCAGTTGTTTTTGGTCTATCTTTATTGTGACTGGGGTTGGTTGTCTCGAAATTTTCATTAGTTTCGTTCTCTCCACATTCATTTCCATGCCATAGCACCTTCCAATTTCAATTAGTCTATCAATCATGCCCTGTAGCACAGTTTCTTCCTTAGCCATTAACACAAGGTCATCTGCATATTTCACAGTTTGAATAATTTGCCCTCCTACTTTGAAGTCACCGAGCCCATCCAGAGCTTCCTTGGTAAGGCATTCGCTGTACAAGTTGAACAGAATTGGTGATAAACAGCATCCTTGTCGAACTCCTCTTCCAATCTGCACACTTCCTGTCTCCCCCCTGTCCAGTCGTACTCTAACTTTCTGATCCATGTACAATTTGCTAATCAATCTTCTTTCATGCCAATCGATACCTGTTTCTTTCAGGATCTGCATTAATTTGGTCCAGTTTACCCGGTCAAATGCCTTCTGCCAGTCTATGAAGCAAACACACAGTTCTTCATCTATCTCCAAAGTTCGTTCCGCTATAATTCTCATCATCCCAATTGCATCCCTGGTTCCTTTTCCTCTTCTAAATCCAAACTGATCTTCTCCAAGTACATCCTCTATTTTCCTTTCAATTCTTCTTTTAAGTATCTTTGCTATTATCTTTGCTGTATGTGCAATAAGACTTATTGTGCGATGGTCGCTGCATTTTGTAGCTTTTGTCTTTTTCTTTAAGGCAATCATTGTAACTTCTGTAAAGTCCTTGGGCCACTCTCCACTTTCATATATGGTGTTCATTAGTTTTGTCAGTGTTTTCAAACCACCTTCTCCCAGTAACTTGAGCACATCTCCAGGTACATCATCATCTCCTGTAGCCTTTCCCTTCCTCATTTCCTTGATAGCTTTTTCCACCTCACTTTGTAAAATATATGGTCCCTTCTCGTCTGTATCTACTTCTTCTTCGGGTTCCACTTCCAAGGTTTCTGGCCGATTAGGTCGATCATATAGTTCCGTAATATAATTTTCCCAAATTTTCAGCACTTGCCTCTGATCTACTATTCTATTCCCCTGGGAGTCTTTGATGCCAATATTTGAATCTCATGGTTCTCTTACCATCCTAGTTCTTTTGTCTTCATGTACATCAAATCATAACATCCTATCCTTTGAAATTCTATAATCTCATTACATATCTTCTCAAAATATGCAACAGGATGCTTAAATATAATATTCCTTTTTGGCCCTGTGCGTGGCTCTTTTCAATACATTCCTCAGTCCCCTGTATTTCCTCCTGCCTTCTTCATTGTTTACATTCTTCCATTTCCTTCGCTCCTCCATTCTACTCATCATCTCCTGTGTAATCCATGGTTTTCTTGCTATCTTCCCAACTTTACCAACCAATTCACTAATAGTATCTAATATGCATTCTTTTATATTGTTCCACTGCACTTCAGCATTTCCGCTTTCACTTTCAATTGCACTGAGTTTCTCTTCTAGGGTCTCCTGCACGCTTTGTCTTTGAGCATATAACTTCTCCAAATCCCATCTAGGTCTGTGCTTTTGGAATCTTATAATTTTCTTCAACATGGTTTGAAACTTGGCAACCAGTGTAACTGCACCATGCAGGAACCTCAGCAATGTTGTTGATTTACTTTCTTAATTACAATGTACTACATGTAAATGAACTGTATTACTGTTAACACAAGATGATACAGAATTGACCCAAGCACCAGCAGATGCCAAGGATGACATCTGGTCTTTCTGAGGGACAAGCAAGCTGCAGGTCACTTGAAAACCCAGAATGGAGCAGGAAGTATCCTGCTGTGATTTCTGGGAATTTCAATGCTTAACTTCGACAGTGCGAGTCTTTGAAAATTTGAGACTTGACAGATACGAGTCACAATAATTTTTGGATGGGCGCACCGAGCGATCGTTAACGTACCTTCATTTATTTGAGAGCTGTCAGAAGGACCGTGTGGTACTTAGGCCCAAATTAACATGGATCTTGTTGGGACTGGCAGAATGTCAATGAAAGAAACACCCAAATTTTAGGTTCAGCCAATCAGCAAAATTTCAGAGGAGAGGAAACCAGGCATTCCTGGAACCGTCAGGACTTCTGCCTCTCCAGGGAAGTTAGTCGCAAAAAGTGAATAACTGGAGTCAGTCGTCAAAAGGAAGTATCAGGAGTGAGTCTTCTAAAGGGAATAACTGGAGTCAGTCGTCTAAAGGGAGTAACAGGAGTCAGTCGCAAAAAGGGAATACCAGGAGTCAGTCATCAAAAGGGAGTAACAGGAGTGACCACCCAGACGTTAAATCGGTGTTGGCCGAGTCTGGTACACAAATTCAAAGTGCTACAGCCTTGTAATGTGTAATTCTAGTTCACATCCATAATAAAGAGCAACAGCGTTGGTGAAGTGTGTGTTTTAAGTGTTCTCTCTCTCCTTGTGTGAGCAAGGCCCAGAAGTCACCCTGAGACAGAATCTCGTCCTACCGTCTGAGCAGTCGGAACCCCAAACACCCGCCTATCCATATCCCCCCTTTGTTTTCCCCGTTCCAAATTTGTGGATTTCACCCAAGTCCACCAGCGCCCATACAAATTCAAATTCAGAGTAATCCCACACCCTACTCTGAACCAGACAGCAACAAGGAAGTGGCGGATGAAAGTGGAGACCAACGTAAGGGCACTAAGAGGACAGGTATAAGTGCCGACCAACTTGTGGGGCTAAAAGTCTCACCGAGCACTTATACAGAGTTAAAAGTGACGCCAAATGTGTGGGCGAACGTGACGGCGGTTATACCAGTAAGTTGTGGTCAGAGTCAATATCTGCCCCAGGCAGCGTCTTCACATCCTTCACACTGTTTCTTAATCGATATTTCACAAGGATGTAGTCCAGCTGATGCTGCCTCCAATCCCCAGGTGCCTTCCTTGTCTAAAGTCTTCTCTTTGGCTTCTTGAACCAAGTGTTGGTAACAATCAGTCCATTTCTTTCACAAAAGTCAATAAGCATTTGACCCCTGTGATTCCATCTTCCTAGTCCATGTGATCCAACAATATTCTGATATGATTCATCTCCAATAATGCTATTCCAGTCTCCTAATATGATGCTGTTTGTACACCTCTTCTATCTTCCTGAAGAATTTCTTCACTTGTGTCATACACTTTTTCCACTTCATCATCTTCATACTCTGATGTTGGCATGTACACCTGCATAATCAGTATATATACCAGGTCCGCCTTTAACTTCAGAGCAATAATTCTGTCATTACAAACAATCTTCTTAACAACACTCCTCACTACGCTTTTATGCATGAGTTACTATGGTAACATAAATCACATCCACATGTTCTGCACAGATATTGCAAATACAGACACAGTGTAAAAATAAAAAAGGACTAAATAGACTAAAGGAGGAAGTTAGAATAACTAGATCTTATAAAGAAGAAAATATACAATACTTAAACTATTTACTAGGAAAAGAAAACTGGGAACTGGTTCTTAAGCAAAACTCGGTAAATAATGCATACAATGAATTTTTAGGCACTTTGAGGCATTACTACGATATAGCAATGCCTAAAAAGAGGGTAAAAGTAATGAAACAGGAAAATAAATGGGTAACGGCAGGAATAAGGATATCTGGAAAAAACTCAGGTTTCTTAATAGCCTAATGAAAGAAAAAACATATCAGAAGGTCTTAGAAAATATTATAGAAATTATAAAAAAATATACAACAAAGTTATTAGTGAAGCAAAAAAGCTGACAAACAACATACAAATAAGATCATCCGAGAATAAATCAAGAGCCATGTGGGACATAGTCAAGGCTGAATTAGGTAATCAAAGGAAAACAGCTAAGAATATTGAAATAAACGTAAATGGAGTACACATACAGGATCCAAAAACTACAGCCAATCTTTTCAATGAATACTATACTAATGTAGCCAAAGAGATGATAAGCAAAAATCTAATAGTAAAAACCAATGAAATAGATATTAATATAGTAAAATATAATAGCAATAGCATGTTCCTAACCCCCACTACAAACGAGGAAGTGATAGAAGTAATTAAAGGAATGGGAAATAAAAAATCAGTAGGAATAGATGATATCCCTGATTATGTTATAAAAAAATGTTATCCTAAAATAACTCCTGCCTTAACATACATTATTAATCTGTCATTCTCGACAGGACAATTTCCTGAACAACTAAAAATGGCAAAAGTTAAACCCTTATATAAGAGAGGACCTGAAACAGAAGTAGGAAACTATAGACCAGTGTCATTACTCTCTGACTTCTCAAAAATAATAGAAAAAATCATAAAGAAAAGACTACTATAATTTCTGAATAAATATGGCATAATTAGCACTAAACAGCATGGTTTCTGGAAAGGGAGATCAACAAATACTGCAATTGCAGATTTCATAGAAAAGGTTTACAAATCATTGGATGAAAGAGAAATAAGTATAGGGATATTTCTGGATTTATCAAAGGCTTTTGACTTGGTTGATCATGATATATTACTGAGGAAAATGTCAAGAATGGGAATAAGAGGGGTTGCATTGAAATGGTTTCAATCATATCTAGAAAATAGAGAACAAAGAGTTGAGATAGCATATAGATGTATAGAAACTAATGATTTAACTAGTTGTCTATCGCAAAAAAGACACATAAAATATGGAGTTCCACAGGGTTCTGTGCTTGGACCAGTTTTGTTTTTGATCTATATCAATGATTTAGAAACCAGCATTAAAGAAGGAAGACCAACGCTTTTTGCTGATGATACTAGCATATTTTTAGCAGCAAAAAATGCTAGTGATGCTCAAAGAAAAATAAATAAAACAATAAATACACTCACAGACTGGTTTGAAAGGAACAAGTTAATTATTAATAAAGAAAAAACAGTAGCAATATCATTTCATCAACCCCAAAAAATACAAACTGAATACCCTCTAATAAAGCTTAATGATACAGTCATTAGTTATATAGATTATACAAAGTTCCTAGGAGTTTGGATGGATAAAAATCTAAAGTGGCGTACACATACTCAACAGCTAGCAAATAAACTTTGTAAAATATGTTTTGCCCTAAGAATAATCAGTAGAGTAGCTGGGCCAGAGACTGTTCGTACTTTATATTATGCGTATTTTCAATCTATGTTAATATACGGATTGATATTCTGGGGTAATTCAGGAGAAGCAAAAGTGATCTTTAAGCTACAAAAAAGAGCTATTAGAATCATGATACAAATCCCGAAAACTGTTAGTTGCAAACAATATTTTAAACTGTTACATATATTACCCTTACCATGCCTATATATATATGAAGTGTTGGTTTACATAAAGGCAAATTTAAGTGCTTACTCAATCAATTCCGAAATACACTCATACAATACAAGGAGAAAGGATAACCTATATACAGTACCATGTAATACGAGTTTATGCAAAAACAACTTTAGTAATATAGGATGTCGGATGTTTAATCAGTTACCACAATATATTAAAGAGATACCAGTACTACACAAATTCAAAAAGACTCTGAAAACATTCTTGCTGGATCATTGTTTTTATAGGGTAGAAGACTTTTTCGTGGTTGGGGATAAATCAAATCATAATTACTAGTTATCATATACTTAATGAATAAATGACTTACATCTTTACAATAACATATATGTGGGAATACCTTCTGCTCTGTTTTGTTTTTTTACTCTTGCAGAGAACAGGATAGCAGGAGGTGTCGGCTGGAACTACCCGGATAGCGACAGATGACCATACTCTCCAACATCAATTTATAGGCCGCGCCAGAGCTTAAGTGATTAGTCGCTGGCTTCCCACCACTGTGATTTGAACAAGTGGGATTTGTGATAACAAACTGGCGCTGGGGCAGGTTTCCTCCGAGTACTTCGGTTTCCCCTGCCACATAGGTTAAATAGGCTAAATAGCCGAAACATGTTGTTAATCTATTCTCAAATTTGATGTGTTGTGACTGATAAATATAGTGCTCATCATTTAATTATTATATTAGTATAAAATTATATTGTTCTTCTTATTATTCTATTATGGTATCATTGTATTGTCTTATTGTATCATTGTATTGGAGTATAGAGTGTTTTGACTTGTCCTATGTCATCCATGGATGTGAAGTGAATAAATAAATAAATTACAGGATTTGCCTACAGAATTTTACTGTGACTGCTGGGGTTTACAGTCATTTCAGGCCAGGATGGAATTCTCTTTCAATTTATAGCCCCATCTCCTCCACCCTCATATCATTTAAAATGACGTCAACTCTCTGGCACCAAGATATTAAGTAAACAGGCTGTAAGAATGTGCACTAGGCTAAATAGCTCAAGACATGGCATAAATCTTGGGTGTTTTGTACATGGTGTGGAATCTTTGGATCCAAATACATGTTAGTAGGATCCTTGTATGACTACATGAGACATACATTATCAAGTTTCAAAAAACTTGTACTATCAGACCTTGCAAGACTTGCACATTCTCATAAAATCCTATTAACAGTTCTCTATTAATTTTAAATGTAATGGTACATACTTTCTTATTGCAATCAGACTGGAAAGTTTCAAGACCCTGACACCTCTGCACCAAGTTCTTCACTTCTGATTTCATCTTTGAAATGTATAGCCTTGCTACTGTGAACTCCTCCTCAAGTTTACCACCACTGCTGTCAGTAGAAACCTGAAACTAATACCATTATCACATTCTTGGTATCACATCACATATATAGTACAAACAAACCTCAATACATGCATTTCCGATCAATGTGAGTTTCGGTTAATGCAGTCACAAACATTTATACCATTCCTCTACATGTACCCTCTAAAATTTTGAATAGTGCAATTGATTATGAAACAAATTTTTTTTAACACTGCAAAAACAAGTCACCTGAAAACTGTTGCCCATGCACAGTGCTGCCAGATTATGCTTCTGTCATGCCATTATGATGCCATAAGTTCAGTTTCACTTAAGCCTTCAACCATCTAAGGCACATGCATGAGAGCAAGGTCTTCCCATTACCATATTTCACACTAATATTTAAAAAAAAAAAAGGTAGAGCTATCTCTGTAACGCAGGAGTCTCCAAACTTTTCGAACCGCGGGCCACATTAGGTAATTCAGCACTTTCAACGGGCCGGATAAAATGAGAAATTCATAACTCTAGGTATATGAGTTTTATTGAAAGCACAGAATTTCATAAACTAAATACAAAGTATGTGAGAATAAATTATCATATATTAATGACAACAGACAGTAGTAGCAAATGCTCATATTTTCCATCACAAATTATATTAAAACAATTAATGTGAATGATGGAACTCCTTTTGCATTCTTAAAATCTGATTAAATTGAGGTTCAAATTTTTGAAACGCTAATCACTAGTAGCGACTTTAAATGCTCATCGGATAAATTTGCCCTGTATTTTGACTCGATGTACTTCATGTGGGAAAAAGTTTGTTCACACAGATACGTCGTCCCAAAAATGGAGATAAATTTACAAGCAAATTTATTTTAATTTGGAAATTGCTCAGAGTTCACGAATTTATAATATTCGATCAAATTTCCTTCCTTGTATTTGTCTTTAATATAATTTTCCTGAAGTTCAATAATTTCCATTTGAATTTGACATCTGCAGCATCACAGTCAAATGGATTTTTAAACAATCTAATTTCCTGAGCACTGGAATCCAAAACAGCAAATCGTTTCTGAAATTGTTCTTTCATATCTGAAATGACTAAATCTGCAAACGAGGAAGGAAATTCTGCTTCACCCTTTTTATGCAACTCTGCACAGTATAGCATGTGAACAAAGTTACAATTTTTAACTTGGCTTTCCAGAAGTATCAACTTTGCTTTGAATGCCTTGATAAGTGCAAATAAATCACAGACTAAGTTATTTTCACCCTGCAACTTTAAATTCAAATGGTTCATATGGTTTACCAGATCAGCAAAACTGCTAATTTCCAAAGCCACTTGGTATCTGATAAAAGTGGTTCGTGATGGTTTTTCTCAGTAAGAAATATATCAATTTCATCCTTGAGCTGAAAGAAGCACGAAATAACCTTTCCACAGCTAAGCCATCGAACTGCAGTATAATATGTCAGGTCAATAAGCTCGGAATCACATTTACGAGTACTCGCTGGAAAATTAGTTAAACTGGCACATTTCTGCACAATTCTTTTGTGGGCTGGATAAAATCACATAACGGGCCGCATGTGGCCCGTGGGCCATAGTTTGGATACCCTTGCTCTAACGGGTTATGAAGGCCCATAAGGTTGAGACACACCAAGGCTCCCACATTTTCTCTAGACAGTCGCCTCACAGATGACAGTAAAGTTGTCAGCCTTATGTGCTGGCAACCCTTTGCCCCTCAAAAAGATTCCTGGTACCCATTTCTGTTAGGGACTGAGTCAACCCCAGAGCCATAGTGCGGCTGGAAGGATTAGTCAATTGAAAATATCCACCTTATTGGGACTTGAACCCGCGACCTTCTGGCTTGTAGCATAGTGCCTCAACCAGCTATGCTACCGTGTGCCCAAATAATAATTAGTATTTTGTAAAAGTTCACAATGCCCAAGAGGATTAGTGATATGTCAGTGAAATCCACTAAGAAGAAATATGTTAATACTTTGGACACAAAATTTGACATTATTAAAGAGTCTGATATTAGTCCATGACTTATTTAATCCGTCTTGCAGTGCATACATTCATTCATCTCCCTCCTTCCCTCGCACTACATGCTTCGGCACAATAATGCCATCTTCAGGTGCTTACTTGTCCACGTCAAACCAGTTCATTGCATGCCATGTTCACACATTAAAATAACCAAAATACGTATCTATCATATACATTGTCAAACGTTAAAAGTATTAAAATTGTTCAGGATAGATACGTATTTTGGTTATTTTAATGTGTGAACATGGCATGCAATGAACTGGTTTGACGTGGACAAGTAAGCACCTGAAGATGGCATTATTGTGCCGAAGCATGTAGTGCGAGGGAAGGAGGGAGATGAATGAATGTATGCACTGCAAGACGGATTAAATAAGTCATGGACTTAAATCAGTGCAACAGGACGCTAAAATATAACATGAGTCTGATATTGGTCAATGCAATGCAAGCACCAGCAGGGTGCTAGGCCTCAATGAGACTACAGTCCAACTGATTCTGTCCAAACCTAATGAAAATACAGAACAAAGTAAACCTGCATCAACACCTTCTAGTACACAGTGCACTAAGGACAGAAGTTATATTTCTGTTTGAAATGGAGCATCTTTTAATAACTTGGCTCGAAGATTGCAATCAAAAGTGGATTCCAATTGGTACCAACAACATAACTGCAAAAGCATTTAGCCTGTTTTTATCACTCAAAGGAAACAAATTCAAAGGCGATGACACAGTATTTTCTGCCAGCAGAGGGTGGTTTCAAAAGTTTAAAGCTCAAACTGGAATTCATAATGTCAAATTAACAAAGAAAACAGTGAGTGTCAATAAAGATGCAGCCACCACATTTTATGCATTAACTGAGGAATATAATTATGATGACTGCCATATTTTTAACATGGATGAAACTGTGCTTTATTGGAAGCAAATGCTGTCTAGCCAAAAATGATGAACTGCAACATCTCCTAACACTTATTAACTCTGATGTTTGGAGGAAGCACTGAGGGCAATTTCAAATTGAAACCTATGCTTATTTACCATTCACCAAATCTGAGGGCTTTAAGAGGTTGCAACAAAATATCAAAGTCTGTAATTTGGTGAGCAAATAAAATGTCACAGGTTTGAAGATTGGTTTAAGAGTTATTTCTGCCCAGGAGTCAAAAACTATTGCATGAAAAATAATCTTACACTTAAAGCCCTCTTAGTTCTTGACAATGCCCTGGCCATCCTACTGTGCTGAATGGTGTGAAAATACGTCATATTTTTACCTCTGAACATTATATCTTTGCTACAGCCAATGGACCAGGGCATAATTTCAACTCTAAAGGCCTATTAGCTTTGAAGAACTTAGCACAAACACTGGATACTACAATAGGGGAAGGTGCAATATCACTGACTGAAATTTGGAAGAATTTTAACATTATGCAAACTACTGACTATATTTACGAGTTGTGGTAAAAAGTTACAACTAATACAATGAGGGCTGTGTGGAAATATCTTCTGCCTTACTGTACAGATAGATGTCTTTTCTGGCTTCGAAAATCGAGCTGATGCTGTTTTTGAAAAAATTAGCATCACTGTACCTCACTTCTTTAATAAACGTTTTTAGCTCACTTGCTTCTCATTATTCTTTATATATATATA